AAATATAGCATTAGAACTAAATAGAAGTTTAATGTTCTGTTTATTCATGCAAGAGATTTTAATCATCCAATTGATTTTCAAAAGGCCAGTCAAGTTGTATTAAGTAGATCCATGGCTGGAATATAAACTAATCAAGTTTCTTAAAAAAATAGTATTGATTTTAGTTTGAATATTAGTTCAGGGTCATGTAAATTACATTCATTTATAATTAATAGAATTTGTGAGGAATTTAAGCTATGCCTGACATGTCACTCATAAATTGTACTTGATATGTGACCTGACCAAATCTTCATTAAACCCCCACTCTCAGCATGCAGAGTAAGGTGTGATGTCATATATGAGGTCATATATCTGAATTAAAAGCCTTCTGCTGTCCCACTATTTTTGCAGTTCCTTGATAATGCGAGTAATCGAGAAACCTCTTAAACATTCACTATTTTTTTTACTGTGGTTATTTTGCATATTGTGATATCCTGTTTACTGTGATCTTATTACACCTTGATAATGTGAGAAGTCACGAAAGTGCTTGGAATTTCACTATTCTTTTACAGTGGTTGTTCTGCTAGCGCAGTGTTGTTATTGATCAATACCACTCGTTCATGGTTACAATAATATATTATATATATATATATATATATATATTATATATATATATATATATATATATATATATTATATATATATATATATATATATATATATTATATATATATGCTGCTCTTAGGCTAGTACACCAAACAGGGATGAGAATGAAATTAGCTTGAAAACTCCCACATCTCCGTATGCCCTCGGACCTAGAGTAACACACCTAGATTGGCTGGGTGCTTGGTTCTTGTAGGATTGGGTGGTCCTGTAGGTTAAGGCTTCACGTGGCATTTTGCCCAGGAGAGGAGTTGGAAATGAATGGTTGTCCAGGGCAATTGGTGTCAACTGCTGGCTGGACAAACACTGTAAGGAAAATGCAGTGACATTCATAGACAACTGGGACCTCTTCTTTTGCAGAAATAACATGTATGCCAGGGATGGGGTTCACTTACCTAGGTTTGGGGTGGGAGCACTGGCCAACGCAGTGGAGGGAGCTGTTAGGTCTTTAAAGTAGAAATAGATAGTGGTATGGGTTTTCGTGGAAAATCAATGTATTCTGAGTGTAGCGACAGTGTGAGTTTTAAGGAAGCCAGTTATAGGAAGAATGAGGAAGAATTATTGGTGAACATAGGAAAGCCAATGGCATTAGGTGATAAGGAGAGTAACAGGCTTAGTGGAGGAACAGAAATCAGCAGGAAGAAAAAAGAGAAGGGAGGGTTTCTGAAAATATATTATACTAACAGTCGTAGATGGACGAATTGAGATGAGTTGCAAGTGCGGGTAACACTGATGTTTTTGCCATAACTGAGATGTGGTTTAATATGAAAAATAGGGACATGTCTGCTGAATCTCACATTCAAGGTTTTAAATTGTTCCAAGTAGACAGAAATATTGGAAATGGGGGGGTTGGGTGGCACTCTATGTCGGAGATCGTTTAAATTGTTGCATAAAAACTGGTATATAGTCCGAAACACATACTGAGTCTGTTTGGGTAGAATTTTCAGAGGGGCATGAAAAATTTATTTTAGGTGTTATATACCGTCCCCCAAACTTGGATAAAGACCAAGGAAGACTACTGTGGGAGGAAATTGTTAAGGCCACAAGGTACGATAACGTTGCAATTCTAGGAGACTTTAACTTTAGTTAGATTGGAATTTTTTGACAGGGAATTTAGAATCTAATGACTTTTTAGAAGTAGTTCAGGATTTTTTTTTGAAGCAGTTTGTGACAGAACCTACAAGGGGTAATAACCTGCTTGACCTGGTTCTGGCAAACAGGGAATCACTTGTTAATAATTTAGAAATTTCAGAGGAACTTGGCACAAGTGACCACAAATCAATTACCTTTAGCATTGAATGGAAGTATGATATTAGGGATAACTCAGTAACAGTCCCAGATTTTCGCTTAGTAAATTACCATGAGCTTAGAGAGCACTTATCTGTTGACTGGGGTAACGAAGAGAGCTATCAGTATGAGAGTTTTCTAAACACTATACATGCTGCCCAGAGAACATTCATCCCGTATAAAGAAATTAGATCGAATAGAAATGACCCAAAATGGATGAATAATAGGCTCAAATATCTTTTAGGAAAAAAAAAAGAATTTATTGGAGCATCAAAAGAGGTGAGGGTCATCATATGAATCATTATATTGACATTAAGAGGGACATTAAGAGGGGATAAGAAAAGCTAAAAGGGACTATGAAATTAAAGTTGCTAGGGATTCAAAAACTAACCCGAAAAGTTTTTTCCAGGTTTATAGAACAAAAGTTAGAGATAAGATAGGTCCCCTTAAAGATAACTATGGGCATCTTACTGACAAGGAGAATGAAATGTGCTCTATTCTAAATAATTATTTTCTAAGTTTTCACTCAGGAAGACACTAACAATATCCCAGTAATAATTTTTTATAATGGACATGACGATAAATTAAGCAATATCACAGTCACTAGCGAAATGGTTATCAAACAGATAGACCGACTGAAGCAAAATAAATCCCCGGGCCCTGATGAACTTTTTTCTAGGGTTCTTAAAGAGTGTAAAATGGAACTTTGTGAACCATTGACTAATATTTTTAATATTTCTCTTCAAACAGGTGTAGTGTCTGATATGTGGAAGATGGCTAACGTAATTCCTATTTTTAAAGCAGGGGACAAGTCGTTACCGTCAAATTACCGCCCAATAAGCCTAACCTCAATTGTAGGCAAATTACTAGTCAGTTATAGCTGATATTACAAGAAGCCATCTGGATAAGCATAGCTTGATTAATGATACTCAGCATGGATTCACGAGAGGCCGTTCCTGCCTAACTAATTTATTAACCTTCTTCAGTAAAGCTTTTGAGGCCGTTGATCATGATAAAGAATTCGACATTATTTAGACAGACCTTGCCGCGGGGGCGTTGACCCCCGAAACTCTCTCCAGGTAAACTCCAGGTACCGCACCAGAGACTGTTAAAAAAAAGTGGCAGCTCATGGCATTGGGGGAAAAGTGCTGTCATGGATCGAGTCATGGCTCACTAATAAGAAGCAGAGAGTATGCTTAAATGGGGTTAAATCCTAGTGGGGATCTGTAACAAGTGGCGTACCACAGGGATCAGTCTTAGGCCCGTTGTTGTTTATAATATATATCAATGATCTTGATGAAGGTATTACTAGTGATATGAGCAAATTCGCCGATGACACAAAGATAGGTAGGATAATTGATTCAAACGTAGATGTTAGGGAACTTCAGGAGGATTTAGACAAACTCTATTCTTGGTCAGAAAAGTGGCAGATGCAGTTCAATGTAGATAAATGCAAGGTTCTGAAGCTCGGGAGTGTCCATAACTCTAGCACTTATAAGTTAAATAATGTAGAATTTAGCCATACAGATTGCGAAAAGGACTTGGGGGTTATGGTGAGCAGCAACCTTAAACCAAGACAGCAATGCCTAAGCGTACGTAATAAGGCAAATAGATTATTGGGATTTATATCAAGAAGTGTAAGCAACAGAAGTCCAGAGGTTATACTGCAGCTTTATACATTGTATAAATCGCATCTGCTAGAAAAATGACAGGATGGATAATGAGAACCTTCAAAACTAGGGAGGCCAAGCCCATGATGACACTCTTCAGGTCACTTGTTCTATCTAGGCTGGAATATTGCTGCACACTAACAGCACCTTTCAAGGCAGGTGAAATTGCTGACCTAGAAAATGTACAGAGAACCTTCACGGCGCGCATAACGGAGATAAAACTCATCAATTACTGGGAGCGCTTGAGGTTCCTGAACCTGTATTCCCTGGAACGCAGGCGGGAGAGATACATGATTATATACAACTGGAAAATCCTAGAGGGACTAGTACCGAACTTGCACACGAAAATCACTCACTACGAAAGCAAAAGACTTGGCAGACGATGCAACATCCCCCCAATGAAAAGCAGGGGTGTCACTAGCACGTTAAGAGACCATACAATAAGTGTCAGGGGCCCGAGACTGTTCAACTGCCTCCCAGCATACATAAGGGGGATTACCAAAAGACCCCTGGCAGTCTTCAAGCTGGCACTGGACAAGCACCTAAAGTCAGTTCCTGATCAGCCGGGCTGTGGCTCGTACGTTGGTTTGTGTGCAGCCAGCAGCAACAGCCTGGTTGATCAGGCTCTGATCCACCAGGAGGCCTGGTCACAGACCGGGCCGCGGGGGCGTTGACCCCCGGAACTCTCTCCAGGTAAACTCCAGGTATTATTATATATTTATAGAAGGCCTGAGTTTGCTACCATCTGCAGCTCATAAGACTGCCATCCCCACGAGCCCCTTTTGGGCGGGGCAGATGGCAGACCAGAGGCCTAGCTTCTCCCTACAAGCCCCGTGAGGGCGGGGAATGTGGCTAGGCCTGGGGACACTTGGTCCCAAAGATGAGGGGGTACTTGTACCGCCTCCCATGGCAGACTTACGTCTCGAGACCCTCCCCAGATAGGAAACCAAGGCCGGGTCACCACTACTTGGAAAAAACCCGGGCCGGGAGAATACCGGCGAATAAAAAAAAAATACATATTATTATTATCAATGGTAATCTTGAACTTTCACAGAGTCATCTAAATTATCGGCTGGTCATTCTTAACTGCGTTGAAAGCTTTTATTTTTTGTTATGACGTGATAGATTACTGCACTGATAGATGGCACTGCTTACACTCAGGGGAAGAGTGATGTATTTGTGTCACTGATGATGCATAAATCACTGCGTGTGTTATTAGGAAGTATCAGCTAGTTTAAACAGTTTTTTTGGTATTGGTTAGTGCTATTGACCTGGGATTGTGTTCCACTATCCTGTCGATGAGTGATAGAGTTCATTTAATGTCTCTGGTGCATGAGTTGGTAGTTTTGCTGTGTAACCCATGTGGGATTAGGGCTATAATGGGTTCCCTGCACCCACCAGAGATGTTGATGGCAGCCCCACCAGTGTCAGTGGTCAATGGCACCCCCCACCGCCCCCTCACTAGCCGTGACACCTGCCCGGAACTCCAGGTAGTGCCACGTCCTCACACCCTGGCTCTAGATGGCACTCCTGCAGAGAGGTCAAGCAAGGGGTGCGACCCGACAGTGCCAAGGGTGACCCCTGTTAACCTGAAGTGTGAGCTGCCCTTGCGAAAGGTGACCTTGACTGAGGTGAGATGTGCTTCGTCCGAGTTAAGGGTGACCCCGACTGAGGTGAAGTGTGACCCGCCCATGCTGAGGGTAACCCCATCTGACCTGACTTACCGTGGAGAGGGAGCTGACCATGTCGTCTTGAGAGTACTCAGATCGGTGAGTATCCTTGCTGTTAAGAACATATAGAATACTGCAGCAGGCCTACTGGCCCATGCTAGGTAGGTTCAAGTCACTGTTCTAAGCTAGTCATTTCCAAGTTGATTTTGCAGGGAGGGACTGAATTACAGTTCCCGGGCCAGCTTAAGCTTTTCTGTCATGGTTTACTCCCCGTTCCATCCATTGCAAGAGTTTTGTTTTCATTTATCTGTGCTGTTAGTTTCCATTTGTCTCACAGCCCTTTCTACCTCAGTATCTTGCTACCCTCTACCCCTGCAATCTCCACTGCTCCACTGCACTCCATGACCTAATAATCATCCCCCTCCCTCTTGCTACCCAGTACCCCTGCACCCTTGCCCTGCTGTGCTATATGGCCCTTGTAGGTTTAGCGCCTCTTTTTGATAACAACAATAATAATAATAATAATAATAATAATAATAATAATAATAATAATAATAATAATAATAATAATAATTTCCATTTGTCCTAGCTTGTCTTAGTACAGTCGAGCCCAGAGTATTGCTAACATACTGGTACCGTGGAGTATTTTGTATGTTATGATCACATCCAATCACATTCTCATGTTAGATTTGTATATGACAGTATTCCTTCCTCTTTCCATCACTTTCCTTCCTTACTCAGCTTACTACATCTCTGTAGCATTTCCCTCCATCCCGCGGCCTGGACAAGTGCCAGGCCGCGGGGGCGTTGACCCCTGGAACACCCTCCTGGTATACCTTATTCCTTCCTTCACCCCCTCATTCCATCATTCACTCTTTTCCCCTCATTCGCCCATCTCTGGTCATCTCCTTTCCTCATTCCTTTCTCCCTATCTCCCTTCCCTCCCTCCCTCCTTCCCATGCACTCCCTCATTCACTAATTTCCCTTCATTCGCCCATCTCTGCCTCCTTCCCTTCCTCTCTCTCTCTCTCCCTCCCTCTCTCCCCTCTTACTAAAACCGTTGACGACCTTCCAACACATGACTTAACAACATCTGAAGGTCACTAAGTTCCACTGACCTCTGTTGAAAGACACCATCACTGTTGTCCAAGCTTGCTACACTTACTCCAGCTTCACTGAACCTGGTTCTCAGGCGTTGCCTGAGTGGCTAGTCTATCTTAAGAGCCACGTAAGTTACCCCGTCTTCTAATAACATGTTCGTTTTTCCACTACAATCAACCTTGTCCATAATTACTACAACATTTGCTTTGCTTCGTAAGGTGAAGTCCAGGATCTTTCCTTAATTCTTGGTTTGACTTAACAAATCTTTGATGACAATTGTGTTACAGAGGTGTGAGCAACATAACTGTCCTCAAAGTTCATTTAGGAACAGATTAACACAAGGATAATTGTCACACATAATGTAAATTATCTAGGATAACCCACATAAAGGCCACGGGGTCAAAGTAATTCTTTATCAGCTTCCCATTGGGCAGAATGTAATCCAGGGACGGATCTGTTATGAAACTAATGAAGCGTAAACTTCAGGGCCCCTAATCCCTGAGGGGCCCAGAAGTCACTTTAGTCCACATTGCTTAAAAATTTTGGGTCTACTGTATGAGAAGGGGTTGCGAAGGGCCCCCCATAACGGTTCAAGCTTCAGGGCCCCAAATATATAGGTCCGCCACTGAAGTTATATCGGATGATACAGAATCATTCCGTGAATTGCAGTCATATCCCAGAGTTAATTATCATCGTGATGCAGTATGCTAATGTGATCTCAAGATTTCAGATAGCTTATTAGGGAAGTAGTACTAGTAGTGGTAATAGTGTGATAGCAGTAATACTAGTAGTGTGCTAGTAGTACTAGTGGTGATAAATACTTGTACGAGACAGGAATGCGCTTAGTATAACTAGTACTGCAATAGCTAGAGCTGTTTAACTAGTGTAGTAGTACCGGGCGCTGCCCTGTCGCACATCAAGCTTCCTGGTGGCTCAGGGCCTGATCAACCAGGCTGTTGTAATAAAGTTGGTAGAATTACCGACAATATGTAAAGTAAAAGGACACAAGCGCAACTAATGTGACATTTTATTGTGGCAACGTTTCGCTCTCCAGGAGCTTGACAAAGCTCCTGGAGAGCGAAACGTTGACACAATAAAATGTCACATTAGTTGCAACCAGGCTGTTATTGCTGGTAGCAGTCCATCGTACAGGTAGGTCAAGAATTGACTTTAGGAACCTATCCACTTCCTTCTTGAAACCCCTAGGGTTCTGTTGGTAATCCTCCTTATGCATAACGGGAAGATGTTTAACAGTCTTGGGCCACTTACACTCATTGTGTTTTCTCTTAGTGTACTCACCTCTGCTTTTCACTAGGGGGGGGGTCTGTATGTTGCACTGTCTGCCGAGTCTTTTGCTTTTGTAGGGAGTGATTTCAGTGTGCAGATTTGGAACCAGCCCCTCTAGGATTTTTCACGTGTAAATTATGATGTATCTTTCTCGCCTGCGTTCTAGTGAGTACAGGTCAAGGGACTCCAAACTTTCCTGGTAATTAGGGTGCTTGAATAAACGTACAGTGTACGTTTATTCAGTAAAACGTTCCAACATTAAATGCTTCAGTGTATAAATGTCTTTTACTTACAAATACAATTATATGGAAGTGATTATTGACGACGTTTCGCTCACACAGTGAGCGAAACCTGATAGGCAGTATGTATGCAGAGTAACGGTGAGGTGATAGCGAAAATCGGTGTAAAGTGAAACATAGCAAGTGTAATACGCTAGGTATTACGGTATATTCTGCGAGGTATTTAAGTGTATTAACGCGAGGCATTACAACTTCTGTACCGCCAGGTTTCTATACTGCATCAACCATTAAGACTTTTTCCCTCACCAACTGGGTTGAATATTAAGACTTTCCTTCACTACCACGGTCCAAAAGTAAGGCTTTTCCTCAACCACCAGGGTCAGGTCTTAAGACTTCGTAAGACTACGGTTGGGGGGAGTGTAACGAGTCGAAAGGAGCTGGTGGTCCGTGCGGCCCGAGACCTGACCTTCCTACACAACGTGGCCAGACGCATCCTGGGACCCTTGTTGACCGATGAATCTTGTCTCGTGATCCTAGATCCAGACACCCTGGCTGATCTTAAGCTCACAGTTGAGCCCAGGAGACAAGGTGAGTGAAATAAACCTTAATAATTTACCTACTATTACTACTACTACTACTACTACTACTACTACTACTACTATACAGTACTACTACTACAAACTAATAACATACTAATTTAATAATAATATACAGAATTGGCGTAGGTATTGTATACGCAGGATGAATCTGTACTACTATATGCATCAACCATTAAGACTTTTTCCTCCACAACTGTTAGAATTAACTTTAACCAGTCCATAAGCTGGCTTACTCAACCACAGTCGGGTCTTAGATCTGTAAGACTGCAGAGTAGTGTAACGAGTCGAAAGTCTGGTACGTACCCGTCGCGTGGTCTGCAACGCGAACTGACTTCTAACAAGTCCAAGCTCTGGCTTGTTACCGCATGAATCTGTCTGGTGTCTGTCCAAACTGGCGATAGTACAGTTGAACCAAGAGACAAGTGGTACATACACCTATATTACCTCTTTGTACTATACTACACTGCTACACATACTTGTAACCTAAGTACTACAGTCTGCTACTATACCACATCTACTGATATTAATATAAAACTATCAGAATTACTTGTAACCAAGACTAATCGGGCTACTACACCATCACGTCAGTCTGTGTGTCTGCAAACTGTCAGAAGTACTTGTAACCAAGTCTAAGCCTGGCTACTACACCATCAGTCAGTCTGTGTGTCTGTCAAACTGTCAGAAGTACTTGTAACCAAGTCTAAGCCTGGCTACTACAACATCAGTCAGTCTGTGTGTCTCTCAAGCTGTCAGAAGTACTTGTAACCAAGTCTAAGCCCGGCTACTACACCATCAGTCAGTCTGTGTGTCTGTCAAACTGTCAGAAGTACTTGTAACCAAGTCTAAGTCCTGGCTACTACAGCATCAGTCAGTCTGTGTGTCTGTCAACTGTCAGAAGTACTTGTAACCAAGTCTAAGCCCGGCTACTACACCATCAGTCAGTCTGTGTGTCTGTCAAACTGTCAGAAGTACTTGTAACCAAGTCTAAGTCTGGCTACTACGCCATCAGTCAGTCTGTGTGTCTGTCAAACTGTCAGAAGTACTTGTAACCAAGTCTAAGTCTGGCTACTACACCATCAGTCAGTCTGTGTGTCTGTCAAACTGTCAGAAGTACTTGTAACCAAGTCTAAGTCTTGCTACTACACCATCAGTCAGTCTGTGTGTCTGTCAAACTGTCAGAAGTACTTGTAACCAAGTCTAAGTCTGGCTACTACACCATCAGTCAGTCTGTGTGTCTGTCAAATTGTCAGAAGTACTTGTAACCAAGTCTAAGTCTGGCTACTACACCATCAGTCAGTCTGTGTGTCTGTCAAACTGTCAGAAGTACTTGTAACCAAGTCTAAGCCTGGCTACTATACCATCAGTCAGTCTGTGTGTCTGTCAAACTGTCAGAAGTACTTGTAACCAAGTCTAAGTCTGGCTACTACAACATCAGTCAGTCTGTGTGTCTGTCAAACTGTCAGAAGTACTTGTAACCAAGTCTAAGTCTGGCTACTATACCATCAGTCAGTCTGTGTGTCTGTCAAACTGTCAGAAGTACTTGTAACCAAGTCTAAGTCTGGCTACTACACCATCAGTCAGTCTGTGTGTCTGTCAAACTGTCAGAAGTACTTGTAACCAAGTCTAAGTCTGGCTACTACACCATCAGTCAGTCTGTGTGTCTGTCAAACTGTCAGAAGTACTTGTAACCAAGTCTAAGTCTGGCTACTACACCATCAGTCAGTCTGTGTGTCTGTCAAACTATCAGAAGTACTTGTAACCAAGTCTAAGTCTGGCTACTACACCATCAGTCAGTCTGTGTGTCTGTCAAACTGTCAGAAGTACTTGTAACCAAGTCTAAGCCTGGCTACTATACCATCAGTCAGTCTGTGTGTCTGTCAAACTGTCAGAAGTACTTGTAACCAAGTCTAAGTCTGGCTACTACAACATCAGTCAGTCTGTGTGTCTGTCAAACTGTCAGAAGTATTTGTAACCAAGTCTAAGTCTGGCTACTATACCATCAGTCAGTCTGTGTGTCTGTCAAACTGTCAGAAGTACTTGTAACCAAGTCTAAGTCTGGCTACTACACCATCAGTCAGTCTGTGTGTCTGTCAAACTGTCAGAAGTACTTGTAACCAAGTCTAAGCCTGGCTACTACACCATCAGTCAGTGTGTCTGTCAAACTGTCAGAAGTACTTGTAACCAAGTCTAAGTCTGGCTACTACACCATCTGTCAGTCTGTGTGTCTGTCAAACTGTCAGAAGTACTTGTAACCAAGTCTAAGCCTGGCTACTATACCATCAGTCAGTCTGTGTGTCTGTCAAACTGTCAGAAGTACTTGTAACCAAGTCTAAGCCTGGTCTACTATACCATCAGTCAGTCTGTGTGTCTGTCAAACTGTCAGAAGTACTTGTAACCAAGTCTAAGTCTGGCTATTACACCATCAGTCAGTCTGTGTGTCTGTCAAACTGTCAGAAGTACTTGTAACCAAGTCTAAGCCTGGCTACTATACCATCAGTCAGTCTGTGTGTCTGTCAAACTGTCAGAAGTACTTGTAACCAAGTCTAAGTCTGGCTACTACACCATCAGTCAGTCTGTGTGTCTGTCAAACTGTCAGAAGTACTTGTAACCAAGTCTAAGCCTGGCTACTATACCATCAGTCAGTCTGTGTGTCTGTCAAACTGTCAGAAGTACTTGTAACCAAGTCTAAGCCTGGCTACTACACCATCAGTCAGTCTGTGTGTCTGTGAAACTGTCAGAAGTACTTGTAACCAAGTCTAAGTCTGGCTACTACACCATCAGTCAGTCTGTGTGTCTGTCAAACTGTCAGAAGTACTTGTAACCAAGTCTAAGCCTGGCTACTACACCATCAGTCAGTCTGTGTGTCTGTCAAACTGTCAGAAGTACTTGTAACCAAGTCTAAGTCTGGCTACTACACCATCAGTCAGTCTGTGTGTCTGTCAAACTGTCAGAAGTACTTGTAACCAAGTCTAAGTCTGGCTACTACACCATCAGTCAGTCTGTGTGTCTGTCAAACTGTCAGAAGTACTTGTAACCAAGTCTATGCCTGGCTACTATACCATCAGTCAGTCTGTGTGTCTGTCAAACTGTCAGAAGTACTTGGAACCAAGTCTAAGTCTGGCTACTACACCATCAGTCAGTCTGTGTGTCTGTCAAACTGTCAGAAGTACTTGTAACCAAGTCTAAGCCTGGCTACTACACCATCAGTCAGTCTGTGTGTCTGTCAAACTGTCAGAAGTACTTGTAACCAAGTCTAAGCCTGGCTACTACACCATCAGTCAGTCTGTGTGTCTGTCAAACTGTCAGAAGTACTTGGAACCAAGTCTAAGTCTGGCTACTACACCATCAGTGTTTACATTGCAATTTGCTCCATAAATGTGCTTATCTACGTTCACGTTATCATAGTGAGTTATAGATCCACTCGGGCTTCTAAGTATATTACTATAATAACGGCTTTATTCTAGTATAATTTGTAAAACTTGACGTCCATATATACTCTCATTTTAACCTCTGTATGTTAGAAGTGATCAAGATCCAAGGACCGAAACGTTTTCTGATGAATATGTCCTAGTGTTTGCTTACGTGTTTTTTCTAAACCAGGCTTTAACTTGCACTGTCATAAGGCATTTATTGACACGGTAGAATATAATCAACCTTTCGGCGAGAAATCAATCACCATCAACAGGATTCATTTCTGGAACACGATATCACAATTCACAATATACGATATGCAATATAGAACATACAGTGTACAATGTACAGTATATAACAGGCAACAGTAATTAAATCAGCCAAGATAAGCGCTGTACAAATGTATAGATTATTTCTTGTTGTTTCAGGTCACCGACAACACAAGGAGATCAACACACACGGTGTTGCTTGTATCTGTCCTGATGCTGCCAGCATCTTTATCTCCCGACGTGACTCTGTGTGCCCAGCATCGTCGTCGTCACCAGTGCTTGCAAACGTCCCGTCATCGTTGTCCTCCTTATCAACGTCATCACTGCCTGCGTCGCCACTCCCGTCTGCTATCGCCGACATTTCTTCCTCTGCATCGCCAACTATAGAGTTTTCAGTAACCGCATTACCTCTAGTATCGTCGTTTTCGCCTCCTTCGCCATTGCTCCTCCCCCCTCCTGTCTCCCCTTCGGAATCTCTAAAATCTAACGCCCCCTTGAATCTCAGGCAATCTCAAAGCTGGGTTAGTACAAATACGTCTTCGAAGCCGGGGTCCCTTCCTTGGGATGATCTTAACCATAGAAGCTCTCCTGCAGCCAAGCCAGAGAGTCCTAGTAGCACTGGTGGAATCCAAGCCACTAGGAAATCTGCTCTAGGAACGAGTCGTGTGCTAGATGCAACGTCAGCAGCATTTGAGAAAACGTTAGAATCTCGGAACGTGTGTATAGAGATTAAACCCAAGCAAGGCTTTCTTGATTCCTCCACCCCGGATCTGCCTTTGTGTCGATATTGTGTCAAACAGTTCTTGAAGGTAAGTACTGACCTCCATCTTCAGTGTACATACACAGAGAGTTGTGTATATCTCAGTGTATATACACAGTGTGCATATCTCAATGTATATACTCAAAGATGTATATATCATTGTATAATCACCAAGAACTTATTTTCATCCCCCACTTTTTACGAAATTAAGTATTCTTGACGTTTGTGTACATTAGAGTTGCAGCCGTAATGGCCCCCGTGTTATAGTTACTCCTTAAACCTAAGGCACTAGGTTTAACTTTAAACCTGAGACACTAACTTTAAACCTGAGACACCAACTTAACCTTAAACCTAAGAAACTAAGTTTAATTAAATCAGAGTTAAGTCTTTTAAGCATCCACACCATAACAACTGTTTAAATATATATCTCACGAGTCTCTGTCTCTAATTCTCTCTCTTTTCTCCTCCTCAGCGTGGAAAAGATGATCAAGCCCGTAGCTCCTACTGTCCCCTTGATCTCTTCTCCGGGTGAGTGTCGTGATACGCTTGTTTTCCCCTTGATGCTGGCCAGTGACTCTTGAACTGTGAATCAAGGCTGCACATTTCCCTTTTTCTAGATGCAGTGTGACACCTTAAGGGAGGTTCCTTGATGCTGTTGAGCGGGTTCTTGATCTAGGGAACTGGATCTGTGTTCCAGTTTCCTGAATTAAGCCTGAATGCCTTCCAGCCCCCCCCCCCCACTCCCACAGGCACTATAATCCCTTCGGGTTTAGTTCTCCCTCTTTATAATAATAATAATAATAATAATAATAATAATAATAATAACAACAACAAACGCAGTGTGACATAGATTCAATGTTTCTCAGTGATAGTGGTTGATTTATTCACACAAGGACTCGCCTAGTGGGCCAGTAGGCCTTCTGCAGTGTTCCTCCACTCTTATGTTCTTATGTGACGTCTTCAAAGATTCTTGTCTCGTTCAAGTTTAATCATCGTGGAGACGAAGACATGTTGCTGAGAAAAGTCTCACTGGAACGACGGTTCACTCTGTGTGGAGGTTCATTTTGCCATAAATCGTTCAGAGAACCGACAAGTTGATAGATTAGACATATGTGCAACACTTGGGGATCTTTATTGTGGAGACGTAAAGCTCTACACAGAGTGTTGCAATAAAGGTTTGTTGTGTAACTTGTGTGTTTGTTTTCACACTTCTCGGCAGTGTGCTAGATTATACAATATAAATTCTGCTGACTAACATTCGTGTTTGTCTTTATATCTCCCTCAGTGAACTCTGGAAGATGAGACGGGCGGTGGAAAATCTAATGCACTCCCCACAGAACAACTTCAAGGTCTTCCAGGTGAGTCCCACGATTATAGAAACGCTAGACATTATACTAGAAGCTAGACAGTCCTAGGGTGAGATGCACGTTATACCTGGACGGTTGAGAGTACCAGGTTCAGAAGTACGGTTTTATCTTGGCGGAAAGCTGGGATGTCTCCTGGTGATGATTCTGGGATGTCTCCTGGTGATGATTCTGGGATGTCTCCTGGTGATGATGCTGGGATGTCTCCTGGTGATGATGCTGGGATGTGTCCTGGTGATGCTGGGATGTGTCCTGGTGATGATGCTGGGATGTATCCTGGTGATGATGCTGGGATGTATCCTGGTGATGCTGGGATGTGTTCTGGTGATGATGTTGGGATGTATCCTGGTAATGCTGGGATGTCTCCTGGTGATGATGCTGGGATGTCTCCTGGTAATGATGCTGGGATGCATGCCATGCAGGTCAGATTGCTGGGTTGAAAACTAGGACCTCACCACTGGCAGTGGGATGAACATAAGAATGGAGGAACACTGCAGCAGGCTTAGTGGCCCATACAAGGCAAGTCCTTCTCAAAACCACCCATTCCCTCCCACCTGTGTTCAACCATATCACTTGTTACCTTGTGATGAGCCGGTAACTGTCCACATAAGATGAGTTTCATTAATAGTTTAGCAATGCTAAAAACACCTTAATTGTGTTCTAAGATCACTTTGTGTACCGTTGACCGCAACTTCCAGGCACTTTCTGTTATGTAGATAATGTTTCGGAGAACCGACATGTGCAACACTTGGGTATCTTTACTGAGGAAACGTTTCGCTACACAGTGGCTTCATCAGTCCTATACAAAGAAGAATGGTGAAGATCAGAAGGAGTTTGAGGTAGTCAGTCCCTCAGCCTGGAGTTTTTTCAATATTGATGGACCGATTACATGGATTCCAGGCTGAGGGACTGACTACTTCAAACTCCTTCTGATCTTCATTTTTTTTGTATAGGACTGATGAAGCCACTGTGTGGCGAAACGTTTCCTCAGTAAAGATACCCAAGTGTTGCACATGTGTCTAATTTATCAACTTTTTATTGTTCTTTTTAATGCTGAGTTTTGCATCTTACCATTACATAAAGTGTGAGTGTATATCTTGGTGGATAACACGTACTCTCTGTGTTTTGGTACTATGTAATGTGTGTCATGTCAACGCCAGAGTCTACTCAGTTCTATGCATTGGATGTGACAAACATGATACCAGAGAAAGTTCATGCTGCAGCATCGCCAGGTTACGCGAGGCGCTGATTTCTGTTCAGGTGACATTCCAGAGAGACCCCTCGCATCAGAACCTGGGTTCCTACCCATTACCCACTCTACCTAGCTTTCCAGTCTGACCCACATTACCCTCTCCACCTAGCTTTCCAGGTTGAACCCACGTTACCCTCTCCACCTAGTTTTCCAGTCTGACCCACATTGCCCTCTCTGTCATGTGGGTTCGATAACGTGGATGGGGTAAAAATACTCACGTAGGCTGGTAGTACGTATAATATATAACGGGAAGTATGGGAAGCGCCAACAGCCGACCTGCCTCTCCCTGCTCCCTATCTTAGACTGACCCACCAGTGCTTACAGGGTGAGCGGTGTTTGAAATCATGCTATGGTCAGCAGCAACATGGATAACAGTCAGTGATTCACTCAGACGGTTGGTAGTGAGTCATCTACTGGTACACTGGTTACTGGTAACTGGTTACTAGGAACTGGTACTACTACTGAGATCTCCACCTAGCTTTCCAGGCTGACCCACGTTACCCTCTCCACCTAGTTTTCCAGTCTGACCCACGTTACGCACTCCACCTAGCTTTCCAGGCTGACCCACGTTACCCACTCCACCTAGCTTTCCAGGCTGACCCACGTTACCCACTCCACCTAGCTTTCCAGGCTGACCCACGTTACCCACTCCACCTAGCTTTCCAGGCTGACCTACGTTACCCACTCCACTTAGCTTTCCAGGCTGACCCACATTGCCCACTCTACCTAGCTAACTAGATTTTTGTGTTGGATATACACCTTTGAATGACATGACAAAGCTCTCCTCAGAGTAACATTACTCCGGTAAAGTCTTGTTCTGCTGCACGTTTGTCTTCCTAACACCAAGAAGAAATATATTTAATGCTGGACTAAATTCAGCAATGTTAGATGAGCTAGACATAATGCCGTGGCACTTAGCCAGATTAATTTTCACGTTGAATCACAGTGTAGATTTTCTTGCAAGATATCAGCAATACTCTGTCATTCTTGTAACTCAGTTCTGTAATGTACGTAATTTGTGAAATTGCTTATACCCATACTGTTGATTTTTCTCCCTCGCAGGATGGAGAGCCAGTGGACGACTGTAGACCGTTCAGGTGAGTAGTACAAACTTGTCACTTCCAGGAAGGTGATTTGATTCTAAGTCTGGAAATTGGAGTTACCGTCCCTTTCTTTGAATCAAAACTGATTACCTTCCAGGCACTGAGAGTTAGTGATAAAATGACAGTGTAGTGCGCTGAGGAAAGGAAAATATAAACATGTTTTTTTATAGTATACTGGAGGGCCTCACTTATACAGCTACTGCTGTAAAGACAAAACTGACGTAAAGTGAAACGTAGCTTCTTTTTTCTTAAATTCAAATGCATATAACAGGCTAATAACATGTTTATAGTATCATATATTAAGTGAACAATAGAGCTAGACCTAAAAATGCATAAACATTAAACGTATTACTTACTTTAAAATATTTTTCATCCTGAGCGGTGAATATATTTATTGTAGGAAGTCTGAATATATGAAAAATGAGTATAATTAAAAAATGCTGTATTAGCGAAACGCTGTAAAACAATGCGCTGTAAAGTTGCCGTGTTCCTCCCTTAAGTCAATGTGACCTGACCTGACTAGGTTGGGTGCATTGGCTTAAGCCGGTAGGAGACTTGGACCTGCCTCGCATGGGCCAGTAGGCCTGCTACAGTGTTCCTTCGTTCTTATGTTCTTAAAGCGGGGGCTGTCTGTAATTCAAAGTTTATTCTCTATAAGTATTACAATGCTGAGTTTACAGAATTTGGTTATTGTGTGGTTTACATGTAGTAAAATAATAATTACTGAGTGTACCACTAGAACACCTAGCATGGCTAGGCATTTCGGGCAGACTTAGATTAAATCTTAAATTTAAAATATTACAAATTATGAGGTAAGTTGGTATTATGGCTAAGTGACTAAATACTAGTTTGTGAGTTCAGCAATGTGAATGCTTTTGTTTTGGCACAGTACATAGTTTCAGTATTGGAGTATCACAGGCCAACTTATGACTAGTTAGGATTCATTATTTTAAGATTGAGATTGATGTACTGACTTCACCGATGCTCACTTATCATCTTACTTTTCAGTTACTTGCGTGACGTTATCATTGCGGCTCTGGCATTCGACTTCACATCAGGGACAGCCCGAGTCCCTGAGGCTCCTGGCCTGAGCCCCAGGTCTCCCCTGGGCAGGATCCTGGCCTTTCAGACCTTGGACCAGCTCGGAGTGTTCAAGGCTAGCAGGATGTACCAGAGCCTGGCAAAATACATGGGTAGCTACCAGCAAGTTGATTCCCTCCTGCAGGACTTGCGACACTGGGCTGATGACCCGGATCCTTCCCATCTGCATTGTGGCAGACGTAAACACGACTCCCACTTCGAAGAGTCCTGCCACACCTCCACTAGAAAGAGAAAGCACCACTTGAGCAACCACTCCAGAAAAACAGTTACTTCTGAATCTCAGGGGAAATCAGATAAACCGAGAGCTGGAAGTGTTGCCACCCCGGAAGACTGTGACGGAAGCCTAGCCAACGCTGTCAGAAAAGTGAGCGTTGAAAATATGGAACTTAGGAGGGATTCTGACGGTCCAGGAGAATCTGTCAGCGAGGATGAGGATGAGGCGATTGAAGAAATGGTCAGGAAACTACAGAGATATCTTCTGTCCACTACAGCCAAGGACTTGTCCCTCATGATACTCTTAAGTGGACCTTATACCAGGTATGTCTTATGTGTTGTATGACCCTTATGAGTTTAACGCTTAGTTATAATAATAATAATAATAATAATAATAATAATAAAGTTATGTGTAATAGTATCATTTATTTTAGTAAATAATCTGAAATTATAGTGAAAATTAAATATAACAAATCCATTATTAACAAAGATTTAAAATAAGTATCGTTATATCATAACTGAAAGTTGATGTAGCAGAGTGATAGTTGATGTAGCAGAGTGATAGTTGATGTAGCAGAGTGATAGTTGATGTAGCAGAGTGATAGTTGATGTAGCAGAGTGATAGTTGATGTAGCAGAGTGATAGTTGATGTAGCAGAGTGATAGTTGATGTAGCAGAGTGATAGTTGATGTAGCAGAGTGATAGTTGATGTAGCAGAGTGATAGTTGATGTAGCAGAGTGATAGTTGATGTAGCAGAGTGACAGTTGATGTAGCAGACTGATACTTCTTATTCCATTAAATTTCCAGGCTTAGAGTTCATGTTATTTCAGCTACTACTGCTACCACCCCTTATAATGTCACTTACAATAGTCAACTAACACCCAGGTACATATTTACTACTAGGTGAACATAGCAGGTGCCAAGTCTCACCCACACATAAATCTTTGTTAGTGGTTTTGTCAGTAGTGGTTTTTGCTAACTGCTAAACACTAGTTTCTGCTATTTGTTAGTGTATTTTAGTAAACTATGGGTAACTCTGACATTATCTGAGGGGGTTTCTTGGGTATTATTTGTCTACAGCCCTCGACCTAGCACAGGCGCCAGCATCTCGCCTTTTACCATCGACCTGGAGGGTGGAGTGTGGTACAAGTGTCAGGTGACAGGGGTCGACCTCGTCGCCAAACCCTCGAGCAAGATCCTTAAGCACGAGCGAGACTACCAGAGGCTGAGGAAGGTGTTGCTTGAACTGAGAAGCCGAGGACAGGAACCAGGATGCTGTAAGCTATGAGGAAGGACGCTCCCTCCACCGGCCTTCACAGAGTTGCCTGTAGCAATACACAGCACCAGCCAGCACATACACACAGATACACACAGCATTCCCTGCAGATACACATATCGCCATCAAATACCCACGCCATCACAGTGAAGCCTGGTCACAGACCGGGCCACGGGGACGTTGACCCCCGAAACCCTCTCCAGGTATACTCCAGGTATCAGGTACAGTTACACACAGAACCTCCCACAGACAGCCACGACACCACCCAAACACACACACACAACACCTCCTGGAGTTTACCTGGAGAGAGTTCTGGGGGTCAACTCCCCCACGGTCCGGTCTGTGACCAGGCCTCATGGTGGATCAGAGCCTGATCAACTAGGCTGTTACTACTGGCTGCAAGCAATCCAACGTACAAGCCACAGCCCGGCTGGCCAGGTACCGACTTTAGATGCTTGTCCAGTGCCTGCTTGAAGACAGCCAGGGGTCTATTGGTAATCCCCCTTATGTATCCCACATACACACACACACACACATACACACAACACCTCCCACACACACACAACACCTCCCACACACACACAACACCTCCCAAATACACACACACACAACACCTCCCACATACACACACACACACAACTCCCACACACACCCACAATACCATACACCCACACACACACACACCGCTACTCACAACACGTCTTACATTGCCTGTAGCAAGTAATTCCAGAACACTTGCCAGTTACCTGTGGTGCTGTTAATGGCGCTGACTCAAGATGCAACAAAAGAAAAAACTCTATTAGCAAACTTTTATAGCGGACGCGAAATATTAGATAAAATACAGCTTGAGCAGCTCACACTTACGGAATTTTCCTTACGACTCGAGTTTTAATATGTCTTAGGAAGCAGCTATGACTTGCGATTGTTACTGAGTAACAGCTGGTGATTGTTACTGAGTGTGACAGCTGGTGATTGTTACTGAGTGTGACAGCTGGTGATTGTTACTGAGTGTGGCAGCTGGTGATTGTTATTGAGTGTGACAGCTGCTTAATACGGCTGAGGAGATGGTAAGTACAATCTCTACAAGACAAGATTATTGACTCCTGTCTCAGTGTTGCCTCCGCTTTGTGTTTCAGGTATGTGTCTACTGTATACATGCTGTCTACAGTGTTAGACCACTGTCTACTGAAAAACACTACAAAAACACTACCAAAACAACAACAAAAACAGTACAAAAGCACTGTAAACACAGTGCCACACACCTGTGGTGTGAAGTCTGTATATGTAACCTTGCACATTCCTATCCCGTATACCACATCTGTAGTGTCAGCTCCTCACACACCCTTGTACAATCCACTCCCCCCTTCCTGTTTAACATACGCACCTGTTCCTAGCTAACACACCCTTGTACATTCCACCACCCTGTTTAATCCATGTTCCTAGCTAACACACCCTTGTACATTCCACCACTCTGTTTAACACTTGTTCCTAGCTAACACACCCTTGTACATTCCACCACCCTGTGTAACCCATGTTCCTAGCTAACATACCCTTGTACATTCCACCACCCTGTTTAATCCATGTTCCTAGCTAACACACCCTTGTACATTCCACCACCCTGTGTAACCCATGTTCCTAGCTAACACACCCTTGTACATTCCACCACCCTGTGTAACCCATGTTCCTAGCTAACACACCCTTGTACATTCCACCACCCTGTTTAATCCATGTTCCTAGCTAAAACACCCTTGTACATTCCACCACCCTGTGTAACCCATGTTCCTAGCTAACACACCCTTGTACATTCCACCACCCTGTTTAATCCATGTTCCTAGCTAACACACCCTTGTACATTCCACCACCCTGTGTAACCCATGTTCCTAGCTAACATACCCTTGTACATTCCACCACCCTGTTTAATCCATGTTCCTAGCTAACACACCCTTGTACATTCCACCACCCTGTGTAACCCATGTTCCTAGCTAACATACCCTTGTACATTCCACCACCCTGTTTAATCCATGTTCCTAGCTAACACACCCTTGTACATTCCACCACCCTGTGTAACCCATGTTCCTAGCTAACATACCCTTGTACATTCCACCACCCTGTGTAACCCATGTTCCTAGCTAACACACCCTTGTACATTCCACCACCCTGTTTAATCCATGTTCCTAGCTAACACACCCTTGTACATTCCACCACTCTGTTTAACACTTGTTCCTAGCTAACACACCCTTGTACATTCCACCACCCTGTGTAACCCATGTTCCTAGCTAACATACCCTTGTACATCCCACCACTCTGTTTAACACTTGTTCCTAGCTAACACACCCTTGTACATTCCACCACCCTGTGTAACCCATGTTCCTAGCTAACACCGGTCTTCCAACCTGAGGCAGATAGACCTTCCTAGGAAATATTCTGGCTCTCAGAATGCTCGTTTTTTTTCAAATATTTTTTATGACACAGCTCTAGTATCCTTCATAGACGGACACCGAGGATTCTAAATGATTTTGATTTAGAGTTAATGTATTAAACTAGTCACGCGAGGCTGGGAACATACAAGTGCCATACAGGACACGAGTCCAGATTATCGTGGCTGGAACCATTCACAAATAATCCCACAGTTTCCAGACGAAACTTTGGACGACGTTTCTCCCACTCTGAACCATTATCACTTAATCGTAGGAGGATCGAAACGTCGTCAGAAGTTTTCTTCCAGGAATGTGGGTTGTAAAGTGCCATAGGGTTTAAATACCCGGTATATGTAGATTTTCTTTTAACCAGAGTGACCAAATAAGCGAATTTGGTTACAGATGTTATTCATTTCCTTCACTTATTCTTAAGAATTGGTAGACATATTGACATGAATTAACATGATGGGCCTAACCTGGCCTAAAAAATCGTACAATGCGGCCAAATGTGGTATGGGTTGGAAATGGTCTGGCTATACCAACACACTGTGGGGAAAACGGAACTTGCATGCAGTTCAGGGCAGAAGGCCTATTGGCCCATACCAGGCAGGTCATTCTCAAACCCAAACCCACTAAAAAAAATATTTTCTTCACCGATTATTAAATATGTCGTAGTGTTTACTTACATATTTATCCAACTGCAGACGCCATCAGTGGCGTCTCCAAATATAGTATTTTTTAAAGAGTATTGAAATCCACAAATTTCCTGATTCTCGGATTTTTTCCCGTGGATTTTTGTTGTCTTAAATAAGAGAAATAAGTTAAATAAGAAGCCTTCTTTGGGGATACTGTTTTGTTCTGTATAAAATTTATGAAGCTCTCTCTACATAGGGCGAAACGTGGCAATCTGTGAATTTTGTTGATATTGTTGCTTGTTACAAGCCAATATATTTTATATATAATTTGTCTTTTTTTATGTATTTTGGTTTTATTAATAAAAGACTTGAGGAATATGTGATGTGGGATATATATCATCTCAGCTTGACTCAGTGATGCTGCAGCAACATCTCAGCTTGACTCAGTGATGCTGCAGCAACATCTCAGCTTGACTCAGTGATGCTGCAGCAACATCTCAGCTTGACTTAGTGATGCTGCAGCATCATCTCAACTTGACTCAGTGATGCTGCACCTCAGCTTGACTCAGTGATGCTGCAGCAACATCTCAGCTTGACTTAGTGATGCTGCAGCATCATCTCAACTTGACTCAGTGATGCTGCAGCAACATCTCAGCTTGACTCAGTGATGCTGCAGCAACATCTCAGCTTGACTCAGTGATGCTGCAGCAACATCTCAGCTTGACTCAGTGATGCTGCAGCATCATCTCAACTTGACTCAGTGATGCTGCAGCAACATCTCAACTTGACTCAGTGATGCTGCAGCATCATCTCAACTTGACTCAGTGATGCTGCACCTCAGCTTGACTCAGTGATGCTGCATCATCTCAGCTTAACTCAGTAATGCATTCTACCCTGATACCAGTTACTTCAACAGGGGGGGAGGGGGGTTGCCCTGATGTTGGAGGGCTCTTGATTTGTGGCATTGGAGCTACCCTCCTTTCACAGCACGTCTGTCTGTTGACACCTCGTTCTCTAGGCCTTATATAGCCCCTTTGAGTTTAGTGCTCCTTTACGAGTATTATGGTAAGATGTTTTTCAGAAAGACTTGGCTGATCAGTCTAACTGTGGCTGCCTCGTATTGCTAAACCACTGCCATATATATATATTATAATATATAATATATATATATATATATATAATATATATATAATATATATATATATATATATATATATATTATGTGTGTGTGTGTGTGTACAGTATATATGTGTACTACCTCTCCTTCCCGGGGTCAAGCCTAGTTACTTACCATTCTCTATTGCTATAGAAATTTCTCGCATCTCTAATAATGGTACCTGGCTTTGTCAGAATTTGATAGCAATACCGGGCTTTATTTTTCCGGCTTTTAAAGCTTTATTTGTGTTTCATCGCTTGAGTGTACTGACCTAATTTTGCTTTCGGGGAGGTCATGTCTCGGTTCACGTCCCTGACTGTGTCTAGCTGCCGTTTACTGCCTTGTTCTTGCTGGACTTGACTGTTAACCTCGACTATGGCTAACTGGTTAGGTTAGGTAAGATTTGTCAGGAAACAGGACAAGTGTTTCCTGACGTGGGTCTTAGTAATATGATGACCCAGAGCTGGAGTTCAACCAGTGTGAGAGCAGTTGCTCTCTTCTCGCATGGTGGCAGTGGTGGGATTAACATTGGAACTTGTAGACAGTCTCTGGACAAACCAAGGTACTGGAACAGTTTCAAGACATCCTGACTGGTCCATTCTTCCAGCCTTTTATTTACGTTTTTCTTCCAAGCTGTCAGTTTGCCATCATTGCTGACTACAGTAGGCTGTGAACAACGCTCTCATTGGCCAGTTAACTACAGTAGGCTGTGAACAACGCTTTCATTGGCCAGTTAACTACAGTAGGCTGTGAGCAACACTCTCATTGGCCAGTTAACTACAGTAGGCTGTGAACAACACTCTCATTGGCCAGTTAACTACAGTAGGCTGTGAACAACGCTCTCATTGGCCAGTTAACTACAGTAGGCTGTGAACAACGCTTCATTGGCCATTTAACTACAGTAGGCTGTGAACAACACTCTCATTGGCCAGTTAACTACAGTAGCTGTGAACAACACTCTCATTGGCCAGTTAACTACAGTAGGCTGTGAACAACACTCTCATTGGCCAGTTAACTACAGTAGGCTGTGAACAATACTCTCATTGGCCAGTTAACTACAGTAGGCTGTGAACAACACTCTCATTGGCCAGTTAACTACAGTACGCTGTGAACAAAACTCTCATTGGCCAGTTAACTACAGTAGGCTGTGAACAACACTCTCATTGGCCAGTTAACTACAGTAGGCTGTGAACAACACTCTCATTGGCCAGTTAACTACAGTAGGCTGTGAACAACACTCTCATTGGCCAGTTAACTACAGTAGGCTGTACACATGCTCATAGGTTAACAGTCATTCATAAAATACATTAACGTGTTTACGTATTTAATAAAATAATATATTTTGAGTGTTGTTTGATGACCTTCGTGCCACCCTGGGTAATATTCAGTACATATTTTGTTCGGATTTTTAACTCCGGAGGGTTAGCCACCCAAGAAAGTCAGTGTGTTATTGAGGACTGTCTCACTTCCACTGTGGTCCTTCAATCTTGTGCCCCAGGATGCGACCCACACCAGTCCGCTAACACACAGGCACTTTCTAGGTGAACGGGAACAACAGGTGTGAGGAAATACGCTCAATGTTTCCACCCGTGTCGGGGATCGAACCACGGACACTCAGTGTGTGAGGCGACAGCGTTGTCTACCAGGCCACGGAACACCATACAGAATTCTCAAATATAATTTTTCTCTGCTGGTAATTGTTGGATAAGACCCATATAATAATATCCACGTGAGGGTTAATATCCAGCCACTTTTCCAGATAAAGTCAGCAATCTTATAAAGCTCTTCTGAAAAGTAACTTTATAAGAGCTTTTTACTGCTTTAAATATCCTATTCCATACCCTTGCAACATCTGTGTTGCTACCCCCCCCCGCCCCCCGCCCCCCCCCGCCCCCCCCCCCGCCGCCCCCCCCCCCCCCCCCCCGCCCCCCGCCGCCCCCCCCCGCCCCCCCCCCGCCCCCCCCCCTTTTTTGTAAATTCAATTGAAAAATTATCACCAAAATTAAATAGCACGAACTTTGAAGCCTTTTCAATCATTATCCAATTTCTGACAATTTTTTAAATAAATTATATATATATATATATATATATATATATATATATATATATATATATATATATATATATATATATATATATATATATATATATATATATTAAAAAAAAGGATTAGTATAATTAATTTTAGGCAGTTCCTCCCACCTGGAAGCCGGTGAGGGCTCTTGATCCAAGGTATTGGAGCTACTTCTCCCTACTACTACTACTACTGCTAATAATAATAATAATAATAAAAGTGTACAGAGAAGATAAGAATCAGTTACTGTGAAAGTTAAAACCCTGACCAGGAACAGTAGGCTCGACCCTTGTATATACAGGTGGGTCAGTACACTCTCAAAAACAGGCCGTTTCTATTGACAAGTGCCTATGACAGTAACTAACACGTTATCAGCTAGTGTGTATTAACCTCTCCTCCTCTCCCCTCACCCTCCTCTCCCCTCACCCTCCTCTCCCCTCACCCTCCTCTCACCTCTCACCTCTCCCTCACCCTCCTCTCCCCTCACCCTTCTCTCCCCTCACCCTTCTCTCCCCTCACCTCTCCCCTCACCCTCCTCTCCCCTCACCCTCCTCTCCCCTCACCCTCCTCTCCCCTCACCTCTCCCCTCACCCTCCTCTCCCCTCACCCTTCTCTCCCCTCACCCTTCTCTCCCTCACCTCTCCCCTCACCCTCCTCTCCCCTCACCCTTCTTTCCCCTCACCTCTCCCCACACCCTCCTCTCCCTCACCTCTCCCCTCACCCTCCTCTCCCTCACTCTTCTCTCCCCTCACCTCTCCCTCACCCTCCTCTCCCCTCACCTCTCCCCTCCGATAATTATGCATATACCAAGACTTCACGCCCTCTCTAAGTGGCACCAACCTCCCTTTTCAAGGTCCCCCCACCCAGATAAACTCCCCTCACCTCCTTCCCCTCCCCCTTCCCCCCTCATACAACAAAGATCAATTTGATCTCCAGGTTTTCCGTCCTTGTTGACAGCCTCACTATCTCTGCATCTCCCGGGTTCCTGTGAATGATGCTCCATATATTGTACCAGATGCTGTATATTGTACCAGATGCTGTATATTGTACCAGATGCTGTATATTATACCAGCTGGTACAATATACACCAGCTGGTACAATATTGGAAGCATCTCTTTGTATATAAATATACGTGTGGGTGTGTGACTTCACGTATATGTAAGACAGAGAGACATTGACACACCAGGTATCAGCAACACGAAGGTATATCAAGACAAAGCCTTTAAACCAGCATTTAGTCCAATTAGGGAACACCGCCACTCCCTCCATCACCCTATAGTCGTCCTCTAGAGGGAAGGTCACAGTCCATACCACGGGTGGGGTTTGAACCCGCGGACAGAGAGTCTCAAAACTCTAGACCGTCGCGTTAGCCACACTTCTACAATACCTAACGACGTTTCTCTCACACTTCTACAATACCTGGCGTTGGTGGTGATTGTAAATTAATTAAACTATTTCTAGCTATATTTCTCTCCACTGACTAGGTATCTAGTATTTAATGATGGGGCTATCACTGCCCGAAATGCCTAGGCATGCTAGTGGCCTTCTTTGTAATTAATATTTAATATATTAGTTTCTCTCTTAACCAGGGCAAATTTCTTAACAATACAACAACAACAGCATTCTCCAAAAAAATTTGAGAGAAAAAATTATTATGCAAGTCAGTAAAATACAGCTGAAAGTGAGGCGTGGCAACATAGAGGAAAAGTTAGGGAAAAAATCCAGGAAATTTTCCCTCACATGTTGGCTGTTGAGGGTGTGTGTGTGTGTGTGTGTGTGTGTGTGTGTGTGTGTGTGTGTGTGTGTGTGTGTGTGTAGTGTTGCTGTGGTGATCCAACCATCACCACATGCTGGCTACATCATATCACTGGCTACATCATATCACTGGCTACATCATATCACTGGCTACATCATATCACTGGCTACATCATATCTCTGGCTACATCATATCACTGGCTACATCTATCACTGGCTACATCATATCTGGCTACATCATATCACTGGCTACATCATATCACTGGCTACATCATATCACTGGCTACATCATATCACTGGCTACATCATATCACTGGCTACATCATATCACTGGCTACATCATATCACTGGTTACATCATATCACTGGCTACATCATATCACTGGCTACATCA